CCGCCTCGTCTCCGGAGCGTCACGAACGGCGCGGTAGCGGGCCGGCCGGGTGAACCGATCGTGTCCGTCTCAGGTGGCCGGCAGACCGGGCCCGACCGTCGGAGGGGAGGCTGTTCAACAACCGGTGTCGGTGTGAATGTGAACAACAGTGAACGTGCAGGCAGCAAGCAGCGATAGATGCGGGGCTTGTGTAACAGTCGCAAAACAAAAAAAAAAAGTGCAGGAATTTTTAGAAAACTTTCTTGGAAGAGCTGGCACTTGTTTGCATTGGCTCCCGAATGGATCAATGCAGTCGATGTTCAGTTTAATTTCATATATTAGGTACTGCTAAGAAGCTGATCATGAAAGCCATTTTTGCCACTGAAAACACACAAAAATTCATTCGAATTATTCAAATAGGTTCTTTCCTAATATTTTGATGACAATCAAATGACAACAAATGGTTAGACGAGGGAGTGAAGGTGCTGATCATTTGAGGGCATTTCTGTTTAGGTAAATGGTCTTCCTATAAGTATCACTTTCTCGCGTTGTGATTTTTCGTCTCGATCGTTAGCGGTTTGGACGCCAATATTTCGGTCACGAGGTGCCATTAGCCGGTCAGAGGCTGTGACCTGAACGTCACGACAGTGCACAGCACACCCGTTTGTCACCAGCTCCTCTCAACTGAGTGTGAAAATAGACATGAACTGACAAAGATGAACTGAAAGGGAGCACGCTGAAGTGCGCTCTTCAATATGATGTGATATAGCACCGATGCCCTATGTCCGATATTCTGTGTTTACCTTTACACTTTCCTATTATATTACACCTTTTTCTGTTCTGATATATCCTGTTTACTTTTACGTTTCACCTATCAATTTGCTTTTAAAACATACATATTTCACATCCTGTCCTTTCTAAAACCTCAGCATCACCCACCACTCACTGCCACCTCACAAACTAAACCAAACCACCTTTACTGCCGCCAGTGTTGATAGGCATATCATAAATAAAATCTCAATTTAGTTCCTATCATCAGCGGTGCCCGTTTCACTTCGCTCCGGTGACCTACAACAAAGTGGTAGTCGGCCGCGAAAGTGGCCACCGCCCGCGCGCTGAATATTACATGTGCTCCCTTTATCTCTGAAACAATGAACACATGCATTTAGCACGCGGCCAACTATGTATTCCGCGCGTTTGCGGCCCTTGTTTCGAGTGGTGAACACACCCATGCTATCAGTTCCACCCCCAGTGGCCGAGGGATAGCAATGGGGCTCTCTATCCTCCAGTCCGCCTCTGTCTATGCTTTGGCTGGAGAGAGGAGAGGCACCGAGAGAGAGAGAGAGAGAGAGAGAGAGAGAGAGAGAGAGAGAGAGAGAGAGAGAGAGAGAGAGAGAGAGAGAGAGAGGGAGGGAGAGTATTTGATAACGGGTTACCTTCGAAAGACTTGAACTAAAAACAAGCAGCTATCACCAAACGTGACTGCACGATTATATGATACCTACCGGCAGAAAGACCGTCACACAAGCGTTCCTTCGATGACTATTTGTTAGTTTTGGTGAAGGTCACAGCGTAGGAGTGTGTTAATATTCCCTGATAGATTTTTCTGACTATGAGCGATCGGAGATTCAGAGAGATGCTGTCCTTTTGTCAGAAAAGACTATTTTGAATACTGTCTGCATGTTTCCCTGTTAATTACGTGGTCCGGAACAACTTGGATGAGGGCGTGACAGCTTATTATGCGGCGTCCTTTGAGTGGGGAAGAGGATAGAGGGAATGAAGAGCACGTGAGAGAGGAGGGGATGGAGTGGAAGGAACGAGAGGAGGTACAAGAGACGGATAGATTGAGAGAGAGGAGAGAGAGAGAGAGAGAGAGAGAGAGAGAGAGAGAGAGAGAGAGAGAGAGAGAGAGAGAGAGAAAGAGAGAAAGAGAAAAAAGAGAAAAGAGAAGAGAGAAGAGAGAGAGAGAGGGGGAGAGAGAGAAAGAGAGAAAGAGAGAAAGAGAAGAGAGAGAGAGAGAGAGAGAGAGAGAGAGAGAGAGAGAGAGAGAGAGAGAGAGAGAGAGAAAGAGAGAAAGAGAGAAAGAGAGAAGAGAGAAAGAGCAGAAATGGGGATGATGCATAACTGTAAGAAAATATGAAAGAATGCAAAAGGGACGAAAAAAGAGGGTTCCAACTATCTATGAAGCGAATAGCTCCCAAGCCTGCCTGGTGACACCACTCCGCTCCACCCCACTAACGCGACATGAGCCTCGGGGCACACTCCGGTACACGCAGCAGATGGTGCGCGGTGCCGTCACGTAATCCAATCGGCCTCCACGAACACCCTGGCTCACTGGACAGCCTGCCGAGCTAACCGGGCTGATTGGCGAACGAAGACTGCCACCTGCCACCCATCGGATCATCACGGTCCATTCAGAGCTACTACTCCGACAGACCCCCGTCCGGTGCCGGTGATCGCCGGCCAGTCATTCCCCTCCCCGGGTCCAGCATTGTTTTCACGTGGTTAAACTCGACTCAGAGAAGCGAAAGTGCCGGGGAGTGATTTCGTTTACGAGCACAGAGGTGGCTAATGATACGTGTTTTCCCCACTGAGCGGAAGCCGTGGGGACAGCAGACGCAGGGGACGAGTCATATGAAGGTTTGGTTCACAGAGTGCACTGTCGGTAAAAGGGAAAGTATCGGTAAACGACGAAATGTCTAAGAGAGGGGAGGAGAGAGACATAGACAGAAAGAGAGAGGGAGAGAGAGAGAGAGAGAGAGAGGGAGAGAGAGGTTCAGAAAAAGAAAGATGACTAATGGCACGCACATCCATGGCCGCTTGAGTAAAATCCCTAAAGTAAAGGCTACATGTCTTGGCCTTATCGATCTGTCTGCATCGATGGCAGTATGGCTACCACTTGCTCAATTGGTAGAAGTAACTATCCGCCATCCAGTCACCCTGGGACCATGTGGTGACCACTGAGGCATCCATCGGTCAGTCCCCGGTCAGCAGAGGGCAGGGGTCAGGTCTGGGCCCGTCGACCGGCCGCGGGAGCCACTGCCGCTCCTGGGAGCTCCTGGTCCACCACTGGACGGTCCCATGACCTGCACTGACCCATCGTAACCTCGAGGATGTCCGTGACCCCAGTGGCTCCACTGATCGCCCGGACCGGGCAGACGTTGTGATAGCCGTGTGACCCCGTGTGATTGACGGGGACCGTGGTGGCGCTGTGACCTCTGAGTGGTCCCGGCGGACCACCGTGGGACCACCGTGGGACCATCGTGACCTCCAGAGGTCACTGACCGGGTCGGAGTGCCGTCCTGCTGCTGACGTCTCACACAGTATGACCGCTCCACGCCCAGCAATGATGGTCATAAGACAGAAGGCAGTAAGGGTAATTGAAGGTCTGTTTAATTTCTTTCTATACCGTCCACCGATCCAGCCTACGGACCTAGCATCTTTTAAAATCATCTCTAATAATTCTCCGTCTGCACGCCGCAAAATTCCTTCTGTCGTTCCACAAACCGACCTCCTATTAAACAAATTGCCTTCTTGCCCACTGACTGGCTAGAACTTCCTTCTTTTACCGTCCCGTAGTCCTTCCGTAAAAAAAATAATTTTAACCCTCGCCCTGGCAGGGGGGGGGGGGGTCGATGCGACCCCCCCTAAGGTTTTTCGAAGATAGCGTAAAAACGGCGGCGCACAGCGCCGCCAAATTTGGCACAGCCTATGGGGCAACCTTTTTACATATGACCTGAAAATTTCAGGTCCGGGTGACCTTGGGTCAGGTCACCAGGTCAGAAAAAACGGTACAAGGTCATGGTCAAATTTCAATTTCTTTTTGCACCTGTCCAACTCACAGTTTTGCACTGATTTCCTTCAAACTTTCAGGATGTGCTAAGTTCAACCGATTTGTATAACATATAGTTCGGGTTTTTTGAGGTCACTGACCTGAGGTCAGTTAGAGGTCATTACGTCGTAATGTTAAGCCTATGGGAAAATACTAAATTCGGAAAAAAAACTGGAGATATCCGCTTCGTTCTATCACTTTTGTGCTTTGAAACCACAGTACTTAACAGCAGGTCACTTGGTGCTTCTTTGTTTGGTGTACTTATCCATGGGTCAGGTCAAATGAGGTCAACTGAGGTCAAATGACGTTTTTGCCAATAACTTGGCACATAATGCTGCTAGAGCTTAAAAAAATGATATCATTGTGTTCCTGGTGATCAGCCGAATCGAATGATATGCGATATGATGCAATTTGGTTAACTTTAACTTAATTTATTAATTTAAGTTTACTTAAAATTTAAGAAAAACTTTAAGTACACTTAAAGCTAAAAGCTAAAAAGTATATCATTCGACGAGCCTTGACGTGCTGAGTTCACTGATGCTTTTCTTTTGCTCTATCTTAATTAGATCAAAAGTTATAAGCGAAAAACTTTTGACCTGTTTTTAGCGAAATTTTTACATCTATACCCCCCAAAACCCCTCTAAATATTGACCTAGAGCAAACCAAATTTGCACAGGGGCGAGAACTCCAGGGGGCCCACCTACCTACCAAATTGGTGTTTCTAGGTGCCATAGGAGCCAATCGCGAGGGGGGGGCGGTCGCATCGACCCCCCCCCCCTGCCAGGCCGTGTTATGAAAAATGCCCTGCCAGGGCGAGGGTTAAAAAACAACAGTCCCCATTGCCCTACCATCGCGTCTCCGTAAGCCCATCGCATCCCAATCCAACCGATCCCGCTCCAATATGAGACGACCAACAACGAGCGCCGCACTGGCCGACGCGTCCGGAATGAGTTCAATAACTGGAGGTCCGTCCAGCGCCCCGCCGCGGTGCGGCCGTCCATATACCCCGTGAGCGAGCCAGGCAGCATCCCAGCGACCTTCTCCGAAATTGTCCTGGCCCTGCGACCAGCTGTAATTGGTGTTCAGGGTTCCTGTGGCCACTGAGAGTTCCGCCAGCTCTGGGGCACACTATCAGATTGGGTTAGGGAGCACTTTCCCTGCTGGGGGAGGGATAGGGGTCAGCACTGACCTTTAGTGCCCGGACTAGGCGAGGTGGCCGGTGCATGAATAATCTCCTTGAGTGGTCGCTCCAGGGTCTTCTGGTGTTCGTCCCCCTTCTGGCGCTGGCTTTATCGGTGTGCCTGGAGGCGAGTCCGTGGCGTTAGTTTATTGATGGTGGGTGGCGCGGGCGTCACTCAAATTAGGGGATAGTGTGCGGATGCGTAACGTGAGAGGATGCCGTAAAGGCTAATTTCGTTTTTAAATGTTTCAGACATAAGTGAACCTCCGGTCAGATTCCCGGAAACTTCATTGCACTCAAAACAAAGATAAGTTATTCTAAAAACAAGCCCTGCACTATTCCTATATAGGTACTAATTTTTTTTTAAGTCAAAGCTTATAAACTTCTTGAGCTCAGCTTGAGCTATTCTAGTTATCTCCCAGAATTTGCTAATTATTCATCCAGCTATCCCATTTTAGTCTGATAAAGTACACATGACCAGCTTCTCCGCCTCCCGTCTCCCCTCCTCCCCCCCCCCCCCGGGACGCTGCGGCCACCCACTTGAGGTTGTGCAGCTCGGCGGCATGCTGGCTCTGCGATCCCCACTGAGTGAGCTCGAACTGAGCGCGGCTGCCGCGCAGAGTGCCGCTCACAAACTGTGTGTGAGAGGTGAACAGACACCGGTAGTCGTCCGGCGGGCCGCAGTCGAACAGGAAGCAGCTACCCGTCTGGAAAGATAGAGAGGAACACAATGGGGCAGGTTAGTCAGTGGTGGGAAGTAGGCTTCTCATATGATTAAATCACTGCTGTTTACCACCGTTCCTCTGACCAGATTGAAACTCTTCCGGCTTCCGGCATTGCAGAATGCAGGTCGACCACTCTGCCGAAATTTCAACTCGTTCTCAACATCCATAACCAACAGGCCGCCCCTTGCTTTCCAGCCAACAACGCCCCTTCGACCCTTCTGAACAGACATCGACCCTCCGTCATTCCCCCACATAGGTGGTGCTCTGACCCTGCCAGGGTCCCATCCCTCCTGTATCAAATAGCCAGCGCGGCCGCGGGCAGTCAACAACGTCCAATCACGTTGACCTTTGACCTTTGATGGAACAGCCCAGCATGGTCCCCAGTCGGACCGGCGTGGATGGACGCGCGGCTGTTGGCTGGCCGCTACCGCATGGGGGTGACCTCCGATGACCCCATGACCTCTAACCAACCTCAACTGGTGACCGCGCAGTGACCTCTGGTATTCGTCACTGGCATGGTGGACCATTGGCCAGGGGACTGCACGTGTGTGTGACCTGTATGAAATGATGCGACAGTGCTGACCTTCCCGCTCCCAGAGGTCCTTGAAATGCATTAGCCGCTGGCGGCGGCGCCGACCTCTCGGGAGCGAGGCTCACGTGAGCGACAGGTCATTACCGGGGGCGACGTTTGAGCGGTCTGCCGCGAACGGAGTCCGAAACTGATATCCAGATACGACGGACTTCTGGTGGAGCTATTCGTGAGAAAGATGGCACATTATTAGATCATAAACCAGAAGCGTCAAATAGCCATGTAAGTGCTTTCTGCTTACTTGTGGGCTTGCGCATAAGGAACGCATAAGATATGTTCCTCCTGTAGGCATGTTGTCGCGCCTGAGTCATTTGGTCACTCTCACTACGGTCCTCGGCCTGACAGTCGTTTTCGGGTCATAAAGCTAATCGAGCGGTTTGTATGCAGCATTTTATCTGGGAAATCTTTTAATTATCAGCCGCATTTACTTCGACGTAGTGACGTTGCAATTTGAAGGTTGAGCCTTGAGGTCAAAAGCAGGTAAGGGTAGTTTTTTTTTTCACAAGTAATGCACCCGTTCCTTGTTGTTGTGGACGGTCACGGTCATATCTTTTAGAGACCCCAAGCAACGGCTTGCTGTGCGCACGGTTACACATAAGGAAAACTGCATGCGATAACTCATTTAATCACATTCGCTGCGTTTCTCTTTTCCATCAGAACACACCTCCCAACGTTTTTGTTTTTCGTTCCGTTCCATCCAGCCGTTCTCCGCGCTGCGTCTGATCCATCCCTGTCTCTGCGACGGTCACTGCCGCGCCTTCCAACAACTGGCACCTTCCCACGCTGGCTGCAACCCCACAAAAAGCACATCTACTCTTCTCCCTCCCTCCCTCCTCTCTCCCTCTCCCTCCCTCCCTCCCTCCTCTCTCTCTCTCCATCCCTCTCTCTCCTCTCTCTCTCTCTCTCTCTCTCTCTCTCTCTCTCTCTCTCTCTCTCTCTCCTCTCTCAGGACAGCCGTCCTTCCATCAAGCCATCTGAGGCCTGAGCCTTTGGTTCCTTATCTGCCGCATTCAATCCCACCAAAAACCACCAAAGCCTCTTGAGCCCCGATTACAGTCACGGTGCAACGGTAAGGACTAAGGCTGGCAAACCATAAAAATCGTATCAGACTTCTTGGATGGCATGTGCACGGCAGACTGTCAAGCACTTACTCGTGTATATGCTGCAGAAATAGCTCAATAAAAAAAAACATGAGCAGTCAGCCACCAGCCTCGGCGCTTTCCAATAACTACAAATAGCGATTCTGCAGTCGCTAAACGATTCCTCGCCACCTCAGAACTCGATCGGGGTCATTTGAGTTGACCTGACTCTCTCTGACTCTCTCCGTGACCGGAGGCGCGTGAGTCGTGAGTTCGTGAAGTGTCGACTCAGTGAGCCGTGAATTTACTCACGCACAGCGGCAATGGGAGCGGGCTGCGCTGACGGCGTGGGACTCCTGAGCCCATTTGGTGTGGGGTGGGGTGGGGTGGGGAGATGGGAGGGGGCTATATGAGCTCCATGGTGCAGTCACCGAGTTAAACAGAAATCAAATCGGCAAAACAGCAGTGGCATTTAGTATGACAAAAAGATCGCATCGAGGTACAAATATCTACGCGGGTTAATGTTAAAAAAGTTTCTGCGACGCTTGTTATTGTCAAGTGCTCAGGCATGCAAAGTAACCTCTATGTAAGCTACATACTAGCCGGGAAGGTATCCATGAACTAAGCTCATTGACCCTTCATGACGATAAATCACTACAAAAGTTACTCTCTGGGCGCAGATCTCCCAACAATGTCCTCCCACCGTTGAAGACCCGTTCACATTGCTCACCTTTTGGTCGTAGATGGCGGCGTTGCAGTGCGCTCGGTCACAGCACGCCTCCAGGCAGTGTGACGTCTCCGTTACCTCCGTGTTATTTAGGAAAGTGGCTCCACGCCGGCGCGAGTCCACCGTTCGGATGATGGTGCCGTCGCGGATGAGGAAGTCTTCCTGACAGTCGGAGGACCGGCTCACCCCTCCGGCCAGGCCGGGGAGGAGGCAGGTCACCACCGCCAGCGCCCGCACCGCCGCCGCCGCCGCCATGGTCGGCATTGGTGCGGCGGCCGCAGCTGACCGACCCGGCGTGGCGTCGGTACCGTCGTCGGCGGCGGCGGCGGCGCGGCGGTGGTTCGATCGATGCTGGATCGACGAGGCTGGCTGGAGCCTGCGGGGTGGGGGGGGAGGGGAGGGTGCGGGTGGGAGAAGGACTCGGGAAATTTCAGCCACCGTCAGCAGCGAGGAAGAATATTGTGAACGAGGAAAGTAGCTGAAGGAAGATGAGTGAGAACAACAAAAAATGAATAACAAATTCTAGTTACTGGAAGGGAAATATCGAGAATGTTTCGTTGACTGTCCTCGTTTGTCGGATGTAATACTCCGCCTTGAAGTATGCAGCATCCCTATTTTTACCGCGAAGAGATAGACAAACAATGCATCCTGCAACAATGGCTACAACGAGCTCTTTACCGCCCAGAGACTGCTGTTTCAAGTGTTTCAGGACATGTGAAGGCCCCGACATACTACATAACAACATACATACTACATAACATCCTCTTCATAACAAATCCATATCCGAAGGCGCCATAGCAACATACACCGACGAGCTGGTGTGTCAAGCCTGAGATGCGTCAGATATTGTTCAATCAAACGGCACCCTGAAACAAAAACCGTGCTGATGCACATTTCTGGATTCATTTGCAATGTTAGGCAAAAAGCATCCTGTAATGACGAGCAAAGGTGCAGTAATTGCACATTTAACAAACCCGGATGATTATCAGCACATTCGTTTAGACTGTATCGAATGACCTAATGCCATAAAATTGCAGTGAGGAAGTTTAAAGCCGCACTTTTTTTGCAAAAAAGCCCACGGATAGCCTGGCGCAGTTAAAAACACGGATGATGCATGAATGACACATTAATAGCTCGACGCATACAAATGTATAATGATGCACCTAATTATGCAAATGAGAGGGAATTGTAGACATTGCGTCCCTGCATATCCCTGCCCTATAATTTGCCTAACGTCTATAACAAATCTCAGCCCCGCCCGTGAGACGAGGTTAATCTTTGCCGACGGTTCAGTGCCCCAGGAGCGTCATTAACCTGTTAATGAGGCGCAACGTGACAGGCACGTCTTTACTTCTCCACTCCGAGCATAACTCTTTGAGGATGTATGCTGTGATGCCTAGCATCTCTTGCGTCACTCCATCTCCCTGCGGAAGACCGTGGCACGCATTTAAATTCCCTCTCAGAATGCGCAATTTTTTTTCTCTCCCAAACTTTCAGTGCGCCTGCATTGCAGTACCTTCCCCAGCCCCCGCACGGTAGCGGCAGTCCATTCACGGTCCGCCGAGCCGGTCTGACAGGAGAAGGAAGTGAACAATATTACGGAGCCTTGCAGGAGGCCGCGGCGAGCTCGGTATGCTGCGCAGCTCCCGGGCCGTGCTGGGGCGTGGTGGGGGGAGGGACCGTGCACCCCCGCCGCCCCGCCCGCCGCTGATCCCACCACCAATGTCACACGGCCCGGGAGGCAGCCAGCCGTGACCGGTGACGCCCCTGACGCAGGCGGCGCCAGGAGCGTCACGCATGGGGTGATAGTCCCGGGACCGTCTTGGAGCAGGGCAGGTGTCTAAATTGACCAGAAACCATCAGGGTAGGTCGCTAGACCCTCACCGTCTCAGCTCAGCTCATAAGGAACACCGCGCGAGTTCTCCCCGCCCAGAGAGCTGGACGCGAGCTCGGTACGCCTCTGGATCCGTCACGCTCATCCACGGCCGAATAGTGGCCGAGTTGTGGCGTACCATGCGCGGCCACAGCTGGGAATGTGGCCGTCAGTCGACACAGAGCTGTGACAGCCTCAGCTCGCCGCCGTGGAGCTGCAGCCAGCTCGGACAGAGCTGCGGGCGGCCCAGCGGTACCGTCGGACCGTGTGTGCGTGTGTGCGTGAGTGTGCGTGACGGTCATAGCTGGACGGGAGCGTCGAAACCGAGCGGGAGCTGCTGGTAGTGGCGGTCGAAACGTGAGTGTGTGGGTTAACCTCAACCTCAACCCCAATCCATAAAAGAAGCCTTTGGAAGACGTTTCCTGATACAAATATTCGATATATGTAGTTACAGAAGAGAAGCTCGATTTACTCAAGGCCCTATACATCTACCTTTTAAAGGTAGAATATGACCTTCTTTACATTAAAGCGTTGAGCATTGAATGTTGCTCGAAGCTGGCGAGGATGCGGAGGATCAAATTTACGGTCTTATCGAAGAGCATTAATATAATGATTAGTTTGATTTGCGATACCTATAAGCGAGCAAAAGACCATTTACGAATTGTGCTTCCGTACTCCTAGGGTTTTTTTGTGCCGTCTTTTGTCTGATACCATTGTAACCAATTATATCTTTTAATTGTAAATGAGGGTAATTTATTCAAAATAGATCTAAGTCGTATCATCTCGGCATGTAACTTTGTATGGGTGACCATCTATCGATAGGAAATGATTTTATTTCCATAAGAAAGTTTCAATCAGCAGCGTTCACTTTCACACCTAACCTATTTTGGCACCGACAATATGCGACTGAAGTCATCAATTTAGAAAACGCACACTTTCTCACCGAATTAGCTGGTAATGAAGGCACGGCACATCACGCGGTGGACTGGCCTGAATCCACCTATGATGGATCGCTGAGTCCTCTCCATGTTCCCGAGTTAACCACACAGGACGGTGGTACTTTAATGGAGGGTTCACACGCCGAACGGCGCTAGAGTTCCCAGCTGAATTCGCCACTCTGGTAGTGGCACGCGTCCGGGTAGACGTGATTCGGTACCGTGCCGCCGACCTAGGATGTACCCTCATCAGTCATCAGTCCGCAGTTACATGCAGTACATATGTGGCACACGTCTCAGTGAT